AAATACAAAAAAACCGGAATTCTGGTGTCATAGCCTTTTCTCCTGATTGGCTGATTTGAATAAATTGTCCGGGTAACTACAGAACTAATTTATTTTAAAGTAACGTTTCACTAATAGAAACTTTCGATTATAACTTTGGAAAAAACGTCAATATTTATTGTGCGAAGGAATCAGAAACTCGAACTTTCTACGTACTAGATCATACTTCATTTATACAGTACTTTATTACCATTTTTAACCTTAAAGAGCGGCCATTAAATTACATGTGAGAAACACCACCGCCACAGTTGCATGCGTCAAATTAGTGTCCTATGAAAATTTTTTTATATAACTACATTAAAATTACTAGTTTTGGATAAGTAGTTGTCGTTCAAAGTTTAAAAAGCCGCGGTAAAGTTTTTCCTAAACTTTGAGGAAGATATCTCGATAATTACTATTTAAAATCTCTGAAAATTTTTTTTATTTCGACTCTATATGACTATTGATTCATCTAATCAGAATGTGATTGTTCGAGTAGAATCTCGTTTTACATAGCGACAATTTTTGTCATTTTGTCATGACTAGGCCCCATGATTAATTTTTAATTATGATCTGTGTTTCGTACATGAATAATTTTAGAGATACTTTTATTATATATAATTAAAAATATAAGAATTTCATTAATAATTTCTATTGATTATATGGTGCAAGAAGCCTAGAACCGACGTCACGTGACTATACTTGCTGGCAAAACCCGGACAAATCCCAAACCCCAAAAAAACAAATTGCTTTTGTAAAAAATTAAATCAAAAAAATATTTTTAATATTTTGTAAATATATTATATATAACTATAAGAATATAAATCATTTGTTTAAATAAAGATTATTAACAAAGTTTTTGAGATAATAGTTTGGGCTTGAGTTTGGGATTTGGGCACGGACAAACCCAAACTATAATAGTTTGGGATTTGGGCACGGACAAACCCAAACTATAATAGTTTGGGATTTGGGCGGCAAGTATACACGTGACTTACGACAATATATATAAATAAAATTATATCTAATCGATAAAAATATTATCTACCTAAAAAAAACACTCTATAGATTGATTATTTAGAACCCGAATTACAATGTTATAGAGAGATTTTTCATTTTAACTTACTATTACTTATGTTATTAGCTATTAAAATCTCGGTGTTTTTATATAACAATTCGAATTTGGCCATGCCTTGTAATATACTGTAAATTAAGTTTTTATATTTAACTTATTTAATTAATTTTTCATTTATATTGTGTCAACACCATTTTTGGTTTCATTATTTGATATTGTGGTCATTAAACGGTATATATTTTCAAGTTAAATTTTATCTTATCTGATTGAACTCGGATAAGTTTCAGGATCGTTATTTTTGTTTTTTTTTTTTTTATCTTGCATTCAAATAAATTTAGACAAATTCCACTTTGCTATGTTAGCAAAATATAATTATTAAAGTTTCTAAAGGATATTTTAAGTAGCCTCCAAACTAGTAATCACGATATCGTTTAATTATTGAGTAATTGTAAGCGCCATAATATCTGTCAATTGTAAATGCAATCTATGATCATAAAATGAAATAGCAAAATATAAACGATATTAAATTGGATTTATTTATCAATTTATTGCATTTTTTAGGATTGTGTTCACCTGAAGTGTAGTTTTTATTTGCACACCCATTTAAACTTGACAAACCATATCCTGTTAACCCCGTTAAACACTTCAAATTTATGTATTTTTAACTATTGATTGCCTGAATTATTTGCTGGCAAAATGTATTTATTTTTTTTTTCTTTTTTTTTTCTTTTTTTTTCTTTTTTTTTCTTTTTTCTCTACATTTTTTTTTAGACTCTAATTGCATCGTCATGCATAGGACACCACATGACATGCTAGAAATGCAGATTTTAGTAACAGTATAACTTTATAAAAAAAAAAGATCTAAACTACCGCATATTGAAAAACTTACTTGTTAGATTATTTAATTTTCGACGAATTAAAATAATCTTCTTTAATTGAATTGTGTGAATTAAAATATTGCGAAAAAACCTATATTTCAAAAATAAAAAAATTCAATTATAAATAATATTTAAAGTACTTAAGAGCAATTTTACTGACTTGTAACAACAATTAAGGGACAATGTTTTCAGGAATCTGTCGATATGACTTATATTTTTTTACAGCAAATTCAGCGGCAGCAAGTGACAATCCTTTTCTGTAAGCATCCATATATCGCCATGCTCTTCTTGCAAACTTACAGATTGTTATAATGTCTACAGAAGCAAGAGCTTCCGGTACAATATTTCACAACCCTTGAAACGTGTAATTGCAATGACTTCTTGCATATTTTTTTATTGCATCCCAAAAATACTCGATATAGTTTAATTTCGGATGGAATTTAGGGTAAAAAATAATTTTATGATCTCGACTATACACAATATCTTCAAGAACATTTTTTTGTTCCATAAAATCTGACTGTCTTGCTAACTTCCTCATGTTACAACAAATCTTTTCTTCATCTTCTGAGCACTTAATATATTTATCTCTTAATTGTTGATTCCAAATATTTTTTTCTTTTATTACTTGTTTTATTCCCTTTAGTTTTCTTCTTTTTTTCACATTTTTATAATCAAGTGAAAAAATTATTTCTTGAGATGTACTATCAGATAATCGACCAGGACGCATTTGTGGTTGTTTTCTACCATATTTTAGATTCATTCTGCTTGCTACTAATGCATCTTCGCAAAAGCACCATGACTCAAACTATTATCAAATACAAATACAAAAATTGTGCCTGGGAGTGCAATTTCCAAAACATCAATTGTTCACTTAAGTTGTTCAGCAAGCAACTGAACATTCTAATAACCATCGTGGTTTACACCAACTTCAAGTATCTCTGTAACGTATCTATTTGGAATTTCTGAGTGGGCTAAATGTTGCTCTACAGTTAAATGAACATGTCCCAAAGGTTCACATAAAAATTCACTAACATGAATACACCTGCCTCGTCCCTTTGGACGTAATTTTTGTTCACCTATTTGAAAAAAACATAAATAAATAATTAAAAATAAGTTCACCAAATAAATTAACCAGAAAAACACAAACCTCCAGGCCCCTATCCAGTTTTTTTATCATCATTAGTGGCTAATGTTGTCTCATCATGTGTTATTATACAATGCGGTTTTTGATTAAGAGGAA